ATGAAAGCTTGACAAGCAGACCCCATCATGTCATGAACATAAAAATAATTGAAAGGATGATCAGGGCATAGAGGAATTTGGATTTTTGAGGTACTTTGTTCAGAAATTCACTTTGTAATACTATTTATATAAACCAAAAAACCTCATGAGAGTTCTGGGTTCCTGGCTTGCATATAATTTCACTCAATCTTCATGGCTAGTTCTCTTTGCTGAAAATACCAGTCAGACCTGAGGATGACCTTCCATTTTTGATTTCTCAAATTGCAACTCAGAAATAATACTCAGAAGGGAAATTCTCAAATGCAAAATAAACACAAAACCGCCCTCTACAAGGCCTTTATTTGTGTGTTGGGATGGCATACCAGGGTGTGGTCCCTGGGTGGTACTGAAGCCCACATTGGGTGCTACCTAGTACAGAGAGGCAGTCAGCCCCAGTGTTCCTTCCATCCATGTAATACGCAGCAACATCATCTACCCACATCAATGGCCTTTCTGTGATGTATTTACAACACACTGGCATGGTATTCCCTCTGCTGAGGTAGAAGGCTTACTCCCTGGAAGTGAGCATTTGTTGGTGAGGGTCATGCTTTGCTTTCATTTCATTTTCAGTTTCATTTCAGGTGGCCTCCCTACCGCGTCTTACCATGGCCATCTCCTAGTAGACAGTGGGCCCTTGGAAGCCAGTACCATATCACACTGATATTTGACACTCTACTACTGGGCATACAAGAGTCCCTCAATAAATGTTCACATCACAGGATGGAAACCTGCCTGTAACCTCTTTTGCATTTACCAGGTGACATGAAAGGGCTTTGCCATCCATGCACGCATTTGGTCTTACCAAAGCATTCATTCACTCATTTACTCATTCATTCAATTGAGCCTCTGCTTTCGGCTCAGGTCTTGATCCCGGCGTCCTGGGATCAAATCTCACATCAGGCTCCTCTCAGGGACCCTGCTTCTCCCTCTGCCTATGTCTCTCTCTGTGTGTCTCTCATGAATAAATACATAAAATCTTAAAAAAAAAGTGATTGATGGTGATAGATATTCTCAGCAGAAGACTGTACAAAGAGCAGCATAAGCAGAAAGGCAGGTTCATTCTTAGCTATGCTCTGGGAGGTAGCAGGGATAGGAAAGGCTTCCCAGAGGAAATGGCATTTCTGTTGGGCCTAGAAGGAGGGGCAAGAAGGAACCCCTGGACAGAGAAAGGGAAGAGCAGCAGTTTCCTGGATGGGAATAGCATGAACAGAAGAGGAAAGAGGCCAGAACATGTATCTGTCATCTGATTGCCTGGAGCTAGCGTTTTGGAGTGGGGAAAGGTGGATGAGGCAGAATCAGGGCTAAGGTAGTGTATCAAAAGCCTGAACTCCATGCTGACAATGGGTTCGTTTATCCTACAGATGACAAGGACCCATCCTAGATATCTGGGCCACAGCATACCATGATCTGTTTTACCAAGATTGCTTATTAATTTGTCCATTTATCTGCCCTATGCCACAAGCTAGGAGCATGTCAAAGGCAGAGATGGGGGGGGGCACATGGGTGGCTCAGTTGGTGAAGTGTCTGCCTTTGGCTCGGGTCATGATCCTGGGGTCCTGGGGTGGAGTCCTGCATTGGGCTCCCTGCTCAGCTGGGGGCCTGCTTCTCCCTCTCCTCTGCCTGCTGTGTGCTCTCGCTCTTGCTCTCTCTGTCAAATAAATGAATAAAATAAAAATTAAAAAAAAAAGCAGGGACAGGGCCTCACCTCTCTAGCAGAGTGACTGAACATAGGAGGAGCTTAACAGGTAGTGTCCCAGGAGAAGTCGTTCATATTCAGAGGCAGGTGAGCGCTGCCCCTCCTCCATCACCTGCTCCTTCAAGCTGGAAGATGAGCATGGAGAACAGGTAGGGGCATGGAGACAACAGGGTGGCTGTGTCCCTGGGACAGCAAGGCTAGCCTGACTCACCTGGTGACGGGTAACAGAATACAAGAATTGAGGAAAGCAGAGGCACCTCATAGAGAATTAAAATCAGGAAGAAAAATATATTCATGTAAAATGATTTTTATATGGTGGAAAACATGGAACCAAGAACTCCTCCCACCCCAAGCTACCAGCTGGACTTTCTATATCATTCCCTCCAGCTGGTGGAAAGTTCCAGCCAGGGGCATGCATATCCACATTCTGGCTCCAGGAAGTATCTACCCAATCATGAGGTAATGCAGCTACTCATCACTTCCTGAAGTTGCTCAGCAGGGCCTGGGCCAAGAGACCACAGATGGGTGGGCAGGCAGAGGTCAGAAGGCTCAGAGTCTGCACAACTCTAAGGATAGGAGGCCAAGATGGGGGTTAGCAGCATCCTCCCCCTACACACATCCGGGGAAAACCCGGACTATCTCCAGGTTGTGGAAAGCAACCAGACATGCCCCAGCAGCAAGCAATCTCAGCTCTCTGCTGGGCAACTGAGAACTGCACTAGCAGGACTGTTATCCAAGTCTAATGGGCCCAAAATACTGTAACAAGAGTTGTGTTTGCTTTTCCTCTATTCTGGGAGGGGAAATAACAATAGCAGGTACTATCACAGAGCACTATCTGGTATTTGGCATGTAATGCTGCTTCTCTTTAACCCTTGTAATAACTGCACCAAGTAGCGATTATTATTTGCATTAAAGCTGAAAGGCTGAGGTTCATTTGTATCCTGGGATATAGCAGGATGAAGATCAAACCTCGACGTGGCCACCTCCAAGCCAGCATTCCCCACAACCACAGTGGCCATACAAGCAAACTAAACAGCATGAACCTGCTGCCATCATAGCATCTATGGTATTACAACTCCTCCTACCTCTACCAGACTTCGTAGAGAAAAGACAAAGGAGCCTATTTTGAAGCCAGTCTCCTGGAGCCAGTAAAGACACAGAAAATGACAAGTTAACTTTCAATTGTACTGTCAGGAAGGAGACACAAGTGCAATCCAGGTAGACCGTTTTCTGCTTGGTGCACTATCACTCCGAGGTCCAAAGGTCAGTTCAGGCCACCTCCTCCTCAATGACTCCCAAGTTTTACCCCTGATTCCTGTGTGAAATGCTACAAGGTGTCTTCTGTTGGAGGACTTCAAAATACTGTGACAATCAGCATAAGGAGGAAGGACCTCACTGAGGGGAATCACAGCAAGTCACCCCATGGGGCAGAGTAAGAGCTGGGGCGGGGTCCATGGCAAGAACTAAGCCTACATTGGGATGCCTGGGTGGCTCAGTGGTTGTGCATCTGCCTTTGGCTCAGGGCGTGATCCTGAAGTCCCAGGATCGAATCTCACATCAGGCTCCCCACAGGGAGCCTGCTTCTCCCTCTGCTTCTCCCTCTGCCTATGTCTCTGTCTCTCATGAATAAATAAAATATTTTTTTAAAAAAAGAACTGAGCCCACTGCCTGATGCCTTTGCTGTAAGACCACAGGCATGCCATGCCCTCTCTGGGCTGGTGCCCCCAAGTCATAACTTGGCTGTCATTTTGGACTCTGCCCTCTTCCTCATCCTTCACCACTAATTAGGCACCTAATCAAAACCTCAGATCAACCCTGTAGTAGATCTTCAGTCTGTCCCCTCTTTAGTTTGGCACTTTCCATGTCTCATCCTCATTACTGCACTGGCCTCCCAGCTGGGCCCCAGCCTCCAGGTGTCCCCACTCTATCCATCCTTCCAGCCAGAAGGATCCTTCTGAAACACACATCTGCTTGCCTCACCTCCCTGATCACTTGACACGCGCCCCCCACACACACACACACCCAGCCCTTATTCCTTAGGGTAAAGTTCAACCTCTTTGGTTTAGCTCTCACGCCCTTGTGTCTGCCTTCTGCTCTCCTCCTGGCTTGCTCTCCAGCCATTTAGAACATTCCCACTTTGCCTGTACTTCCCTGAATACATTGTGCAATTTCGGGACCATGTACACTGCTAGCCTCTGTCCCTTAGAAGATCCTTCCCCTTTGATAACTTCTACCAGTCGTTTGAAACTCAACTCAAAGATCACCTCTTCCAGGAAGCCCTCTCAGATACTGCAGTCTGACTTAGATGCCCCCTCCTCTGAGCTCCCAGCTCCCCTATACTTCCTTCTACTGCAGCACTTAGAGTTGTTGATCATTCTTTTCTGTCCCCTGTGTTAGGTTTCCTAGAAAAGAGGAACTGAGGCCAGACAGAGCCTCAGTTGATTTTTGTATCTGTAGTGATACCTGGCACAATGCTTGAAACACAACAGGAATTTCTAGATAGAAAAATGTGTGGGTCTTCACTCCAGTAAATAGGTCCCTCCGATCACCAGTTAGAGGATCTTTATATTTCGGGTATCTGGAAAGGCTCATCAGTCTACTAAACTGAGCTCAGTTACCATGGGAACTTATCCTTCCACTTTGACCACACTCTTGCTTTATGAGGTCCTACGTAGTCATAGTGAACTTTCTTGACACTGAATACCAGTTACCACAAATGATCAGTGGCCCTTAGAAGCAGTTTTGTGGCCACAGTAGGGGATGGGAACAGAGAGGACAGCCAGCGGTTCCTGCGATCCAAGACTGATGACCTCTGGGCCAGGGGTGCCAGAGGCTGTGTGGGGCCTGGAGAGCCAGCCAACCTCAGCAGTCCTCACCCCAACACTTCCACTTCTGCCCCCTGACAAGTTAGTTCTTGGTTACTGAAGAGTCCAGTCTTGTGAAATGTGTTTGGTTTCAAGTTTCCTGTCACTGGTCTACTATTTAAAAATTACACCCCACCTGCTGCCTGAAAGAGATAAGGTATCTGTGGTCTGAGTGAGAAGCTTCTTGCAGTCAGCTCCTGTGTGAAGAAGGCCTGATGTGAAATGAAACTGAGGAGAGGGATGTTTTCTGTGGCCTCATTTCTTTCCCAGGAGCTCAGAGTTTTCCATGGCAAGATAAGGGAAGACGGCCAAATGGGCACCGAGCCCTTCCTGGCAGCGATGTCAGAAGGGATTGGCCCAGTCTTCCTAAAATGATTCTTCTCCCTCATCCCTTCACTGACCTTGAGATCAAAGTGAGCAATTTTCTTGGCATGAAGGTAGTTCACCCCGTCCAGGATCTGCTTGATGAAGCTGGTGGCCTCCTCCTCACTCAGAGACTCCTTCTGGGCCAGGAAGTCGAAGAGCTCTCCTCCTGACACCCTGCAAGACACCAGTGTGGGGTGGGGGCCAGGCACCGTCAGCTCCGTGTGTTAGGAGGCCAGGAGGCCAGGTCATGGGTGGCAGCTCCTGAACCTGATCCCCACCATCTGGGCATATGGCAGGATATCCTTCCCCATCTCTGGGGGCCCCTGTCCAGCCAGCACCAGGACCCGACTTTGCCACTGATCTCGGACAATTCACTCCCCCACTCCCCACCCCACCCCCGTTCCCAGGCAGACCTTAGTTTCCCTACCTGAAAAATGAACAGATTGAGTAAAATGGCTCCTAAAGCCCTTTCTTTCATTTTACAAAAGATGGCCTTCCAAGCTCAAGAGAATCTAGGCATGGATTCTAGACCCATCTAAAAAACCTGAAAATGCTACTTTTGTCCTCACACTTCACACTTACACCTTATGGTAGATATGGCAGGAATAGAGGCCTACAGAGCAAAAACAACCTCCCCTGTAAATACTAGTTTACATTTGTAACTGAATTAGGGATCTGGGATTGCCAGATAAAATAGGGGATTTTTATTTGCTGAATCTGGCAACCTTACTGGGCTTGTTTGTCCTCTGATGGACACTGGGGTATCCCGCCAGGATGTGCTTCTTTGGGGCTGAGATAGAGCCAAGGGTCATCCCAGGGAAAGACATTGGGAAGGGATGTGGGCCAGGAGGTTCCAAGAACTTAGGATCACCTGGAGAACTTGTTTAAAATGCAGATCCCAGGTCCTACCACAGACCCTAACCAATTAGATTCTCTAACCCCCAAACCTTGGAACCTATAATTTTACAACAATAACATAACACTAGTAATTCATACCATTGAATATTTACTCTGTGCATTATGTGTGCCTTAGGCACATTATCTCATTTAACTATTGCAATACCTTATAAGCTAAGTACTAGCATTTTCCTATTTCACAGTTGAAAAAACAGAGGCTCATGGACACCTAGGTGGCTCAGTGGTTGAGCGTTTGCCTTTGGCTCACGTGATCCTGGGGTTTTGGGACTGACTCCCACATTGGGTTCCCTGCAGAAGACCTGCTCTTCCCTCTGCTTATGTCTCTGCCTATCTCTCATGAATAAATAAATGAATAAGAAAGGAAAGAAAGAAAGAAAGAAAGAAAGAAAGAAAGAAAGAAAGAAAGAAAGAAAGAAAGAAAAAGGAAGGAAGGAAGGAAGGAAGGAAGGAAGGAAGGAAGGAAGGAAGGAAGGAAGAAAGAAGAAAAAGAAAAAACAAACAAACAACCCAGAGGCTCACTGAGGTTAACTGACTTGCCCAAGGTCATGGAGCTGGTAAGTGGCAGTCAGGATTCAAACCCAGGCAGAATGACTTTCAACCACTATATCAGACTGAGTGTCCTCAGATGATTCTTTATATGGCCAGAATGGCTTCTGTCCCAGTTTGGGGAATCACTCATTCCCTGCCACCTAGTTCATTCTAAACAAAGAGCGCTGAAATTTCCTTTTCTCCTTTCTTTAAAAATATCCAGAAGCACCCATGGACCCACTAATCAATCCCAGCACCATGAAAAACACAACAACTGGACATGATGGGATACAACAGGAAAATACACAGCAACACCTACATCTGCTTAAGCCTCTTCAGTGCTATCCAACAGAACTTTCTGTAGTGATGGAAATGTCCGCTAGGAACATTCTCCAACATAGTAGTCAATAGTCACACATGGCTACTAAGCATCTGAAATATGGCTAGTGCAACCCAGGAACTGAATTTAATATTTTATTTCATTTGAAGTCATTTTAGTTCAAAAACTGAAGTGGTGTAAAAAATTTTCCTGTAAACACAACTTTATTGTTTTGATAGGATTGTATTTCATGCTAACCATTACATTGAGAATGAAGTCAATGTGCTGTAAGTGTAAAATACACACTGGGCAGGACACCTCGGTGGCTCAATGGTTGAGTGTCTGCCTTTGGCTCAGGTCATGATCCTGCGGTCCTGGAATCAAGTCCCACATCAGGCTCCCCACAGGGAGCCTGTTTCTCCCTCTGCTTCTCCCTCTGCCTATGTCTCTGCCTCTCTGTGTGTCTCTCATGAATAAATAAACAAAATCTTAAAAAAATACACACTGGGCTTTGAAGATGGAATATGGAAAAAAGAATGTAAAATGTCTCATTAATGATTTTTTATCGATTACATGTTAAAATGATAATATTTTGTATATATTGGATTAAATAAAAAATATTTAAAAATTGATTTACCTCTTTCTTTTTACTTCTTATTCATTGTGGCTACTAGAAAATGTAAAATCACATATGTGGTTCATATTATACTTCTATTGAACAGAGCCAATATGGAGAGTATCTCATTTAGATCTATTAGTTTACAGGAAATAAGAGACATAGAGGAACAAGTTAACTAACAAGCATGAGGAAGGAATAAGCCAAATCTAGGCTGTGAGACAATCAATGGAACAAATGACTTAGTTTTTCCAACAAATCAATGGCACCAAAGAAGAAGGGGAAGGAGAACTGCTATAGGAAATGAGATAGAAGAGGCCAAAGAACCAGATGCAGTATGTGGACCTCATTTGGATGCTGATTCAAATAAAACAACCATAAGAAGATATCTCTGGGTCTATCAGAAAAACATATGGACTGGAGTGGACACACCCTCGGTGGTCCCGAGGCCTTGGCTGGATATTTCCGCCAGGTGTAATAAATACACAATGGGGGATCCCTGGGTGGCGCAGCAGTTTAGCGCCTGCCTTTGGCCCAGGGCGCGATCCTGGAGACCCAGGATCGAATCCCACATTGGGCTCCCGGTGCATGGAGCCTGCTTCTCCCTCTGCCTGTGTCTCTGCCTCTCTCTCTCTCTGTGTGACTATCATAAATAAATAAAAATTTTAAAAAAATTTAAAAAAATACACAATGGGCATGTTTTTAAAAACTGTCATCAGTTAGAGATGCACACTACAGTATTTATGTGTAAAGTGACATGATGTCTGAGATTTGCTCTAAAATATTCCAGCAAACAAATAAACAGTTGGGAGTGGGGGCAGGTGGGGGTGTAGGAATTTTATATAAAACAAGACTGGCAAAATGTTGATCATTTGAAGCTGGGTGATGGGCATATGAGAGTTCCTTATGTTATTCTTTCGACTTTTGTATATATTCCATCATAATAAGAAATTACCAGTAAATTTCCATGGGGGCGGGGGGAGACTCCACGATCTCCCTCAGCCGTCCTCCCTCATAATGACCATCATCACCTGGCAGTTCTTCCATAACAGATGAGGAAACCAAGGCCCACAGGAGGGGAAGTGGCCATGCAAGATCTCCGAGTAGGGGTGTGTGCAGTGAAGGCCATGTCCAGGCCCTGGTCACAGTCCAACATTGTCTTCTCAGGTGAATGTGTAGACTGGAGATGAGTTGCGCTAACTCTGTCAGGGACTGGGGGTCATGAGAATGTCTACGTGCTCACCTCGTTCCGAAGAGCAAATGAGTCGGTACAATAAGGAAGGCACTCAGCCCAGTGACCCAGCACAGGCCAGCACTCCACCAGCAGGGGCTCCCGCCATGATGTTATTGTTTGTCACATGTGGTTAGTGTGGGCTGACACAGTGGGAGAAGGTGCTGGGAATGCAGTGAGGCTTGGGGAGGGTCTGGATGGAGGCAGCAAGGAAAACAGCGCCAGCGAAGGCACAGGGATGAGGAGGAGCACAAGGTGTGTCTGTGGCAGTAAGTCCCTGTGCGGTGGCCAGCCTCAGGGCTGAGGTGCACACCTGCCAGCATGCTGGTTCTGTCACTGACTAGCCCGACACTCTCCACCTCAGTCACCAGTCATCTGCCAAATAGGTTAAAAATGTCTACCTGTGGCAGACAGATGCATGTCAGAAGCCTCTGTTCCCGCTGGGGTGTGAGTTTCTCAAGGGCAGGAGCCATGAATCAGGTCCTCATCCTTATGTCTAGTGTCTACCACATAATAGACGCTGAGTAACTATTTAGAGAAGGTGGGGGTGGTGGCAAATGGGTGAAGAGAGAGCGAAGTGAGGTGGCGCCTGTGAACATGCCATCCGTTAGCGCCTCGCTGTCCCCTACTCAGTCAGTCAGCTGGGTGCAGCCCGCAGTGGCTGCCTTGGTGTTTGAGATGAGGCTGGGGCACTACTTTTCCATGTGTCTCATGGGTGAAGTCATCTTCCCCATGAGCAGGTGCTAGAAACTAGAGCCCCCCTCTCAGCTGCTGAAGGAGTAACCCTGAGTTTGCTCTGTGGGCCTTGATCAAAGGGCCAGAACGGTGGTGGTCCCAATCCTTCCCTGACACAGACCCAAACTTCCCCTTGGGGTGCTGCACGTGAGAGTCCCAGGACCTGGCTTTTCTTCTTGCAAAACAGGAATGAAGATGGGGAACCTCAGTGGCTCAGTTGGTTAAGTGTCCAACTTGATTTCTCCTCAGGTCAGGATCTTGGGGTGGTAGGATTGAACCCTGCACTGGGCTCTGAACTCAGCAGGGAGCCTGCTTCTCTCTCTCCTTCTGTCCCTCCCCCTGCTCATGCGTGCTCTCTTTCTTTCTCTCAAATAACTAAACACATCTTTTTTAAAAAAAAAGAGTTTTAAAAAAAATAGGAATGAGAAGAAAACCGAGCCTATTGCCCCCTGGGAGGGGGTGGGGGTTCTTGCTGTAGATTTGGACAAGTGCTAGGAGACCCTTGATAAAGTCCTGGAAGTAAATGTAACACACCGTATCATTGTTAGGCGTGACAGTGCTAGAAGGGCATTCGATTCCAAGTTTATTCTACATTTGTCACCTGTGCATTGTGCTTCCCCAAGCATTCTCTCACTCAAGACTCATATCTACCCCAGTGGGTGGATGGAACTTCTGTCCTGATTTTCCAGATGAGAAACTGAGGCCCCCTAGAGAGCAAGTGACTTGCCCAAGGTCACACAGTAAGTCATAGAACCAGGATTTGGAGCCAGAACTTCTCAGCCCCCGTCCACCATGTGTATTTCTCCCCGCACTGTGTCCACATTATAAAGGCCAAGTTGGTGTGAAAAGGAAAAGCTCAAAGCCACCCCGAGCAGTGCGCAGTCCTCTGACATCCCTGTTCAGCCACATTCAAGCCCTCATCACACCACGCTATTGTTACCTGTCCTTCTCTCTCCCTAGCTAGGTTATCTTTGCTTCCACAGCACCTTGTGTAACAAAGGCATTCAATAGAAGGTAGGCGGATAAAAGAACAAAGGGAGAAAAGCATAAAAAATATCAGCATAATATAGAATATTCTGTATCATAGAGAAATGACGCCTTGGCATCTGCAAGGGACCTGTCTGGAGCCTGGTGCAAATGTTCAAATCCCCCCCACCCCCACCACCTCCACCCCGCCCCCTCTGCAACACAGAACCCTGCCTGGCCCTTGTTTCCTGTACTTCCTGCTGGGTCCTGTTAGGTTATGGCCTCAGGCACATCCTACCCTTCCTACCTTAAATAGAAGGCTACATAAGTATTAAAGAAAGAATCTCATGATAATGTGGATGTGTCCTGTCACTCAAAGACACTGACATGAAGGCCCAGGCTGGGTGAGGACTTTGGGAGGCAATAATCAGCCACTCTGTTTGAAGGCGTGATCTGGGCAGGAGAGTGGGTAAGACATGGTCTCCTCTGGATAAAGAAGAGAATAATAGCTACTACAGTGGTCCTCAGAATCTCCCCCAGAGCCCTGGAAAGGGGGGAGGCTGATGGGCCCACAGGGGTAAATGTCCAAGTCTGGACATCCAGGCTGGGGACACCCACATAGCTCTCCTCAAGGTTTTGTTCATTTTTCTCCCCCATAGTTTTTCCCCAGGATTTCTCAGCCCCCAAGCCTCTTCCCTGGAGCACCCTGTCTCCTCCCAAATTTCTCTCCTCTCATATCCCAAACCTCTTCAGCTTAAAGGTCAAAAGCAAATTCTAAGAGTTGGAGCCTCTTCTGCTCTCCTCTCAGCATCCCCAGGACCAGTTCCCTTCCTGCTAAGCTGATCTTCCTCCTCCCCGGTTGCTCTGCCTGCTGGAAACGCTTTTCAGACTCACTGTGCACCCATACTGAAACGATCTGCATAGGCAGTGATTTGGGAAGGATCCTGCTGGAGCTGCTTGGGCCCAGGGAGCTGCATTTAATCTGGGGTGCTAGGAAGCCCTGCTGATCCCTTGGGGCACCCTGCCAGGCCATTCTGTGGTATATGCAACTGCCTGGGGATTGCTTCCCATTATCTTGGAGTCCAGGAGGCCCCAGGGCCATCAGGGGCCTGGATGGGAGGCCTGTCCAACCCTTCCAGGGCTAACTTAACATTTTTCAGAGCAAGCTCCACATACGACATGAGTTGATGTACTGAGACTTTGAAAATATTATTTATGCTATACAGAAGTCAACTTATATGGAAAAACCAAATCCTTCCCATCCTTGCCTTCAACAGCCCTGACCAGAGGCAGCTGCCACTAAGGAGGTCATGGATGGAGTAACAATAGCTAAAGGGGGCTTAATTCAGGGCTGGGCATGTTCTCTGAGTACTGGTCACATTAGCAGAAAGCAAGAGCATGCCCTGCACCAGACAACAGTTGCTGAGAGGGGCAGTGGGATTGGGGTGACCCCATCCACAAAACCTGCAATTTCAACTGAATAGGCAGGCACCAATACTCATGCTTAAGCATTGGGCAGACCCATTAACCTATTAGGGCACTATGAAGACTGGAGGCCCAAAGGCTGCTGATCAGCCCAATAGGGATCACCAAGTTCAAACACAGAAACCCATGAAAAGCCCTCTCTCTCAATAGTCCTCCCTCTTGGGGAGGACCCTCTGGGCACATATGGCTTCAGTACAGCCTTAGTAGTCGCTATTATTGCATAGACAAGCACCTTGAGAGCAGTGAGACAGCTTTAAAGAAAAGGAGACAAAGAAACTATGAATAGATAGAACCGAACAAGCACAGCAGCTCATGCAAGTCACACTGGTGGCATGGATGGTGACAGCTCACTAGAAGAGGGCACGTAACTGTTGCTGACCATGGGCCTTGCTGGGAGGAACAGGAACATCTCAAGAGCATTCCAGATCCTGACCCCTAGGGTTTACAAACAGGGAGAAGCAGGCAATTTCCCCAGCAATTAAAGAAAAAAAATTATTTAATTTTATCAAAATAAAAATGAAAACAAAGAATCATTTTATGACTATAAAGGTCAATAAATAATGAATCTTACTTTAAAACAAATGACCCAGAGGGACGCCTGGGTGGCTCAGTGGTTGAGCATCTGCCTTCAGCTCAGGTTGTGATCCTGGGGTCCTGGGATCAAGTCCTGCATCAGGCTCCCCACAGGGAGCCCGCTTTTCCCTCTGTCTATGTCTCTGCCCCTCTCTTTGTGTCTCTCATGAATAAATAAATCAAATCTTAAAAAAAAAAATGACCCAGGGCTGACAACACTAGAGGCAAATAGGATTGTTCCTATGTTATAGGTCATACTGGTTGTTTAATACCGTCCCATGAAAGTGAGGCTGTCAAGAAGATACCTACAAATGTCAGCCTAGTCATCCCCTTCCTGGTATATCTGAAAGGATCAATTCAAAAGAAACTGGGATATTATGGGAAGAAATTTGTTTTATGGCAATAAAATTTGTAATGGTTTAAAAGCTGGAAAAAAAACCCAAATGTCCAACAATAGGGATATATGAGTACGCAATTCAATGAAACATGACATTCTCAGTTAAAAGAAAAAAAATTTTGGTGATATTATGTTGAGGGAAAAAGTAGAGCAAGAAATTGTACAAGTACAATGATTGTATACAAATAGATAAAGACTGAGAGGAACCACAGAAAAACATCAATAGCTATGTTTGGGTGGTAGGATTATGAATGTAATTTCTTTTCAGTTGCTGGGAAGTTTTTTAAAGCAGTGGCCTCGCCTTCCCAGTGGAGGTGGGCTTGTCATTCTGCTGGGAACCAGAGTACATGGTTCCCTGAGCCCTGCCGCATGCCCCACCTTGGGCTGTCCATGTGCCTGAGCACACCTGTGGGACGCCCCCAGGCTTGCTGAGTCAGGCAGCGGCATATGCCAACTAGTCCAACTGGCTGGGAGGTTCATGGGAGAGACATGGAGGATGCTGGAGTAAGAAAGGAATAGCACAGGCAAGCCTATGAATTTAAAAAGTGAGATGGATAATTTAAGCATCAAATGCAAGAGTATGCAAATGGCCATCTGCTACATAAATCTATATCCTGGTAATACAAGGGCTTAGCTCTCAAATTAGAATTCTTTCAAAAGTCAGGTGGTCCACCCAACTTGTAGGCAGGTTAAGGATGGCTGCCACATTTATAGATGAGAGCTGAAGCTCAAAGGAGGGAGAGGACTTGCTCGAGGTCACAAAGTCAGGGATTACCAAAGCAAATGCCACCAGTCCTGTTAACTGGCAGAGGCATACATGTCTATGAGGCTCAGAACATTCCCAACACCAGTCTCTTTTTTTTATATTTTTAAGATTTTGTTCATTTATTTGAGAGAGGGGGAAGTGAGAGAGAGCATGAGGAGGGGGGAAGGAGAAGCAGACTCCCCTCTGAGCAGGGAGGCCCAATGCAGGACTCCGTCCCAGGACCCCAGGATCATGACCTGAGCCAAAGGCAGATGCTTAACTGATTGAGCCACCCAGGCACCACCCCCCAACACCAGTCTTGCTGCTTGACTGAACACAGCCATTGTGACTTGTGCCACAGTCCAACTCAAACTCTGTTGCCTGCCAGAGCCCCATCTCCGCATTCCAGGAGGGACACCAGGTGGCCAGTCCCCGGAGCCTTGGTATCACCAGACTGTGACATCTTCCCCAGCTAAGCCAGCATAAGGCCCTCCCAGCTCATGCTCATTGCTATAGATTCAAGTTCTGGCCCCACCTCTTCCTGGCTATAGGGTGTATAAGTGACCTGGCCTTTCAGTGTTCTTGTCTGCAAAATGAGCAGAATAAGAGTCTCTGTGTGAGAATGTTATGAAGATTAAGTAAGGTAATAGAAGTGCTCAGTACAGTGAACACAGAGTAGCCCCTCCACGCTAGTAGGACACTTCCCTCGATAGTCTTTGGGAGGACTGAACAAGATAGCAAACACGAAGCATCTGACAAATGATTGGCTTACAGTAGGGCTTTCTAAATAATGGCTATTATTACGATAATGAAGGCATCAAACAGCATAAATGTGGGGAGGTTGGGGTTGGGGGTTCCCATGAAAGGGCTGGAGAAGGGCTTTGCAGAGCCTGGAAGCTGTTTGTCCCTCTCCTCCTCATAGAGAAGACCTTCCTGGACAGCCTTTCCTTCTCTCCTACCACCTTCTTACACCCCACCCCCTACCATCCTCCCAGGTGCTCTCCAGCCAGGAAATGACCCCAGAGCCAGCACTGCTTCCCTTTTATCCCCAGGGTCCAATAAAAGCCAGACGTAGACCTAGTCCTTTGTCCCTGTTGCTCAGCAAACCCACCGACCTTTGACCCAGGTTCAGAAAGGGGGGGTGGGGATAACCAAGGGAAACCACCCACCGCTGACTTCACCTCCTCTGGACAGAACTTAGGACTGCTTGCTGCTGCCCTCTGGGGCCTGTGGCTGGAGCACCCACCACCCTACCTGCCCTCATGCCCACCATGGGTCCCCGGCCCCCACTCACAGTTCAAGGATGAGCACCACATCGGTGCGGTTCTCGAAGACGTCGTGCAGTGTGATGACGTTCGGGTGAAGCACCTGCCGCAGGATGCTCACCTCCCGCTCAATCTCCTCCCGGCACACGCCCCGCCGGCTGGCCCGACTCTGACGCTTTTTGATGAACTTGGCCGCATACTCCAGCCCCGTGCTCTTCTCTCGGCACTTCTTCACAATGGCAAACTGGCCGCTGTGGGAACACAGACCGGCACAGTCGGGGTATTACTGTGTCCATGAAGGAAGTGACCCAGTTATCAGCCCCCAGGCCACACTAACTTAGAGTCATTCTGCGGGTAGGACAAGTCATGCCACCAGCCAGCATCCTCACCTGCCCATTAACCAGTGGCTGAGATGGGGCAGGTACTGAACTTCCCTTTTGTTCATATGAACCCTTTCCTTTACTAGGAACGAATGTTAGTATTGTCATTCCCAGTGTACAGATGTGACCACTGAGGCCCTGAAAGGTTATTGATTTGATCAGGATAATACAGCCTCATCATTCCTAAATCTGTTAGAATAGAACCCAAGTTCAGTATCCACTAGATAAAATCACAATGTCCAAAGGCTTATACTATATAATGTAAAGACTAAAAAGGAAAAACACAAAGATCAGATTGGCATGGTCAAAATACTAACAGTTACTTGTTTGGGTGTGCCTTATCTGGATACAAGTATGAATTCATCCATTTATAATTATAATATCTCTATATTCTTATGTTGGTACCTTTGCTCCTAACCTCCTCCCAACAAATAAAATCTTAATGACCTGAGCAAAGCAGGTCCTCAGTTGGGTAACAGAGCAAATATGAGGGTGATGCATTTAATGTAAAGACAAGGCCAGAGGATATGCTGGCTGGGTTGGTGGGATACTGGCAGAGGCAGGGTGGGTAGAGGTAGCCTAACACTGTTAATAACCCTAAGTGGGAGTTCGTCATGGTGAGAGGGCTGATGGGACCACAGAGTTGTAAAGTGTTAGAAAACTGAGGCATAGAGGAGGTCAAGTGACAAGTGTGAAGTCATCACAGAGTTAATGGCCAAGCCAGGTGCCCAGCCCACTGTCCACAAAGCCACTAAGTAGTTATAGAAATCAAGACTCTGCTTAGTGCCCTTCAGGTTTGGGTCTGGAAATGGGGACCAATACAACCACCACAAAATGGCGTCCATGCCAGTGACAGGTGTCCCTGAGCCAGCTGCTCTGAGTGCTCCAAGGACAGCCCAATCTACAGGGAAGGGCAGTAGTCTTCTGTTCACGATCTCAGTTTAGGTGGGCAGGGTGGGTGAGCAGCTCTAGGTCTCTGGAGACTGCCCCTTTCTGGGGTCCTCCCACTCTTCTTCCATCATTTTCCATAACTGCCCCATGTTTTCTCACCTACAATACCCACTGCTTAAGACAGATCACCGAAAATTTTCAGGTCCAGCTTAATAAGGGAGCAGAATACTCCACACACAGGATGTACGCTCTTAGTGGCTCTGGGGTAAGAGTTACACACAATGAAATTCTCCAGATATTTGCCTCAACCTCAGAAAATAGCATCACATCTGAACCACTCCATTCCTAGAATAATCCTCAGTGAGACAGCCTTCAAAATAAACCTAAGTGGAAAAAAAAAAAAGTCAAGTAGAGGAAGCAATGGATAGATATGCCAATACTTAAATAGCATTCTATGGCAACCACCTTAGAGATGTCACCCGACACATATTTCTGTATCCCTCCATGCTCTCATCCTCCATTCACTCAGTGCTGCCAACAGGTACAGAGGGAGCTCTGGAAAATGATAAGGTCCTGGGGGCTGGGTTAGGATGGACAGAGATGGTTTTGTGGAACCAAACTTATACTACATTGCCTACCTACTCTAAAGTTTCAGCTATTTATGTCCTGAATATAGGCTCCTGGCTGTCTACACACCAGGGGCTGACACAGGTGGAGTGAAGCCAGGCCTCCCAAAGCCAGAGTGAATACATTCAGTGAGATCTCTAACATAGCTGGTCCCTTGGAACTACTTTGGGCCTCAGAGACATTGGGTCCCTTAGTGAGCGTCAGCAAACACCTGACATAGCTTCCAGTCCCAGGCAATTGTGAGTCTTAATGTCAGGATGGCCAGTTTTTTCTTTTCTCTGACATCTCAGGGGCCTGGCATCAGGAGGCCTAGGGGCACACAGGGCTCACACTCTTTCTAGCTGACTGATAGGGAAACCAAAGCTTAAGGATTTTAAGCTTTTTGTTTAAGCTTACAAAACACAGATGTGAAGGTGCAGGGTTTTTATAAAGCAGAGAGAAATATTTTAAGTCACCTTGAGATACACTACCCCTCTCCCCACCTTGTCTTATGAGGGAAATGGAGACTTTTTTTTTTATCACATGACTTAAAAATTCCTCAAAGTCTCAAAAAAGTAAATGAGTGTTTGCTTTTTCCTGGTTGAGTTTTCTCCTGTGAGAGCACCTTTTGCAATGCAAAGTCACTAAGAGTCAGTCCTAATATGCAGGTGACTTCCTCCTACCAAAAAGAGGTATTTTGAGAGTAGGTGAATAATGGAGCCAAATATCAAGCCACACCACTCCTCTCCCCTCTCTTCCTAGAGGAAGGATCCCTGCCCAACCTGCCCCAAGGAGCCTAATGGGAGCCCAAGGAGAGTGTAAGCCACTTATGGGTTTGCCCCTCTTGTTGGGCCATTACTGAGAAAAGGGGAGAAGATGTTCCATGAGGGCCGGGCCCAGGCCATGAGACTTTAGGAGCAAAAGCAGCCTTCCAGGGCAGGCAGGCCAGGACTCAGGGAACTCACACTGTCACCTGGGGCAAGTGGCTGCCTACTCTGAGCATCAGTTTTCTCATCCATAGAATGGGAATCATGACTCCCTACTAGGGAATCATGATGACTGGAATATCTACAGTGCTGGGCCATGGTCAGCTCTAATGAATGATAGCTATTCTGTTACTAGTTTATTGCTCATATGAAGGCCAAGCAAGAGGCACCACAGAAGTCACTGATTTAAATGGTGAACAATATATGGCCGGGGAATCAGTGTCATTTTAAAAGTCCTCCTGATGATTCTAGTGCTCAGCCAGATATAGGAATAACATTGTTGTAAGCACTTAGCCAACTTAGCCCTTGGAGCAGTGGTTCTCAACTGGCTGTGCATCATGATCACCCAGGCAATTTAAAACCTGGCTGCCGGGGATCCCTGGGTGGCTCAGCGGTTTGGCGCCTGCCTTTGGCCCAGGGCACGATCCTGGAGTCCCAGGATTGAGTCCCATGTCTGGCTCCCGGCATGGAGCCTGCTTCTCCCTCCTCCTGTGTCTCTGCCCCCCTCTCTCTCTCTCTCTCTATGTCTATCATAAATGAATAAATCTTAAAAAATAAATAAATAAATAAATAAATAGATAGATAGATAGATAGATAGATAAATAAAATAAATAAAACCTGGCTGCCTGGGTCTCATCCCCAAAGATTCCAACCTCCTGAGTCTGGGTGGGCTGCAGTCTGGGAACTGAAATATTCAAAAACTTCCCAGGTGACTGATGTACAGCCAGGGCTGAGAAATACCAACTTACAACTGTCCTCTGATTCTCTCCATTTTACAGATGAAGAAACTATACTTCTGTTACTCACTTTATTCCTTGTCCTTTTCAGCATTCATATACTGAACTGCCATTGAAGTGTGTCAAATCAAGACTGAAGATTACCCTAGGCTTTGGGGGTAACAAGAGGGGAAGTTTACATTCAGGCAGGCTCTGGTCACTGTGCCCACAGTGAATGCAAAAATCAGAGCTGAAGTAGAAAAAAAATCAGAGCTGAGATGACTCTCTATTATGCACTGTTGATCCATAGATGGGCAGGTAAAAGCAGTGATGGTGATGTGCTCTCATCTGCCCATTAGGATGCTCCAAAGCCAGGGGTTCAGGTTGCACAGTGCAGAAGCTGCCCAGCTAGGCTGTGGGGACAAAGGGTAGGCAGTGAGGGCCTCTCTAGGTTAGGACAGAGCCACCCAGAGTGCCATCCAGAGAGGGAACAGAGAGGACCCACCCAATCTCTAATGAAAGTCATTGCCAATACTAAATCTAAATTATGGGAATGCTGAAACACTGACGCACATGTGCAAAGCATGCATATTCCAATCCTCCCTCCCTACCTCCCCACATTGCAAACAGTCAATACCCAACCCATGGTCTACTACAAAGGACTGGCTGGCAGTCAGGAGGCCCAATTCTTGGTCCTGCCATCAGAGCCTCACGGGCTGGCGCAAGGCCCTGCCTTCCTGGTTTGTGTTTCTCCACCTGCCACCTGAGGTCTCACCTCAGAAAGCTTCTGTCAGAAAGCTCCAAAAAGCTGGTGACAAACTGAACAGACATAAGGGCTTTCCCTTCATTCTCCATGCGGGTTCCAGGCAGAGCCCCACCTTGACCTGGAGCAGCCTGTTCAAATCCTTGAGCTTCAATCTCCTTCCCTGTCAAACAGGGGTGAGAACACCTGGCCTGGCCACATGACAGGGGAAATCATAAATTATGCCCGAGAAAGGGTTTTCCCATCTAGCACTATAGAAGGGCAGGAGGCATGGAGGGGCGGGGTGGAACTCTGCTCCTGAGGGTGTCTTGCAAAAGTCACGTAGCATCGTTTAGTGACAGATGGGCAATCCCTAGACACAAGTAAGCCTCCCTACTTCTGCCAGCACACTCTCTTGAGATGAAGTCAAGAGCACACCCCTCTTCTCAGGTACAAGGCTCAGCTCCTCACTCACTCCGAACCCCAGGAAGATGGAGCAGCCTGCACAGAGTGAGGCAGATGGGCCTCATTCAGAAACTCAGCAGTGCCCAAGGTGGCACCCCATGAGGGTGTCCTATTGTCTGCCCAGGAATCAAATAAAAAGGTTTAGTAAACCTAGAAAGGTTTCTTGGTGCCAAAAACGGTGTTATGTCTCCAACACCAGCTCCTCAACTGTATGGAAGAGCCTGGCTCAGTCACCTCCAAAAAAGGAGGTGGTTTTTCACTGCCAAAAAAGAATAACCTGAACATAACCCAGATCTCACACCATCTAGATTTTGTATAGCACTGGGATACTACAACACTGATATCCAGCTTCTCTCTTTATAAGCTAATTGTCTATTTATTCTCTTTTTTAATATTTGCAGGTATCCTTCATATTTCCATTTCACAGAAAAGAAAACAGAGGCCTAAGGAGGTGACTTGGTAGTT